CTGGTCACACCCCCTTCAGGGTGGGGGTCCCCACTGGGGTGCCTGGCCAGTCTGGGTGAGGGGCTGAGGGCTGCTTTCAGGCTGGCGGTTGTTGACTGAAGCTCCCCACCGCTCCTTTTTTTTCTCTTTTTTTTTATTTTATTCTGGGCCAGCTTTAGCTCTGGCTCTAGCTCTGAGGCTTCGTATCTGGTTTGTTTGCCGTTCTATAATCGAAACAATGTATAACTTCAGCTCTGAGATCCCGGCAGGCTGAAAGCTGGTTTCTGGGCTTTTGTTTAGCTTCTACATTTGCAACATAGTACATAGTTGCTTAGAGTTGCAACTCAGAGGCCGGCAAGTTAGGCGGGGAACGTTGGCGTCTGCAGTCACTGGAGCAAGTGAGCCTCCCCCTGTTCGCTTCAGTGCATGGCTGCCGGCCGCCATCTTGGCTGACAGTTAATTTGCATAAGGATATGCTGATTAGCCAATGGGAAGGGTAGCGGTCGTACGCCAATTACCATGTTTCTCTTTTATTAGTGTAGATTAGGAGAATGACTTTGTATGTAGGAAATATTCACTAAGGTATTCAGAATTGATAGGGGATGATGTTGATAATTTGCTTTCAAATGGTTCAGGGAAAAGATTGTTGTAACATATCTGCAATTTTTCTGTAAGTTTTAGTTTGATTCAAATTTTAAAAATTTCCTTTGAAATACTTTAAAAATACTTTACATAATGACCACATTCAACTTGAAGCATTGAAAAGATACTGGCAATATTCAACTCCTTCAGTCCAAAGTAGAATTCTTGGTGTGGCTTCCAGTTCAAAGAATAGGTAGTCATTTTCTTCAGGCTATTCTTATACATGATAGTGAAGAAAAATGCAGCTTATGCTAAGTTTTGCAGGACAAGACCCTATCCTTTCTTGAATATCTTATTAGGTAATTTGTCCTTTAGCATGTAATATATATTACAAAAATATACTCCATATCCGACTTTCTGTGGAACTGGATTTGACTTTCTCCCTCCCCATCAAACAAACAAACAAACAAAAAAATAGAAAAAGAATCATTGAACAGTGAGTGGTATACCCTCTATATAAATGCAATAATTGTTAATATTTTGTTATCTATCTATCTATCTATCTTAGTCTATTCAGGCTGCTATACCAAAAATACCATAGACTGGGTGGTGTTAACGTCAAACATTTATTTCTCAGGATTCTGGAGTCTGGAAGTCTGAGATGAAGACACCAGCGGATTCAGTGTCTGGTGAGAGCCCATGTGCTATTGGTAGAATGCATCCCTATTTCCTCACAGGGAGAAAGGGGATTAGGTGTCAACATATGAATTTCCGTGTGTGTGTGTGTGTGTGTGTGTGTGTGTGCCATAAATATTCAGTTTATGGCATCTAACTTTGTTGAAGCATTTGAAATCAAGTTGCAGACATTCGTAACACTTCATTCCTAAACACTTGAGCACAAATTTTCTAATAATAAAAATATTTTCCAACATAACCGCAAAGTATTAATTATTCATAAATGAATATCAATAAATGTATCCACAAATCATTAATTATTTCAACAAACTCTAATATACAGTTCATATTCAATCTTCCTCAATTGTTCTAGAATGTTTTTCATAGCTGCATTTCTGGAAACCAGGATTTGCAATACTCAAGTCGGTAACTCCAATCCCTTACTTGGAGGAACAAGACTTGGTCATGCAATTCACTTTTGTGCACGTTGGAGCGGGGTATGTCTTGGAGGTACAGGAGTTTGAGGTTGGTAGGTAGGGAGGACCAGGCTCCTCCGGATCCGGATCCCTGGTACAGACTGACTTCCAGGCTAACAAATCAACATTCCATCTTCAGGGACTGGCCGGAGGCAGGGGTCCTCTACTGCCGCCAGAGGGCGCGCAGCGCAGGCAGG